TTTCTTATATAGTATGTTTTATCACATTTAAAAAAACAAAAGTAAAATAATTGCTTTTTCCTAACAATTAGATGCTAATTATTATTTCCCTAAATGCCTACGATTTAAGATTACATAGTGCCTATAAACATAAAACCCATGTCTGTATAAACAACATGCGTACATACAAGGACAGCATTTTCACATACCCAAACAGAAGCTGGGTGCCAAGCTATGAAATAAGCCAATAGGAAATATGTATTTATTTCATAGCCCAATATTTATCTGTTTTATTCATAGTAGATGTGCTTTTGAAGTCTAAGGCCTTTCATTTTATTTGTTAATTAAATATTTTGAGGTGACATTGGTTATTAACATTGTATAGGTTTCAAGTGTACAATTCTATAATCCTCTGTATATGGCATTGTGTGCTCACCACCCAAGTCTTTTGTAAGAGCTGCCCTGATCACCCTTTGTGGCCTGGCCACCACCTGGCTTTCCTGGCCTCTTGGATAAACCCACCCTGAACCTCCCATGATCCAGAGTTAATGCTGGCACTGCAGGGGACCTCCAGGACCCCCTTCCAGCCTGTCACTGTATCCATGCTCCGCCACTTGTGAAATATTTTGGATATAACCTCCGCTGGTAGCCAGTTTATGTATTAGCATAACGGATGCATTATAGAATTAATTTGCTCTGTCAAAAAGACATTTATTAACAAACATCTACTTTTGAACCGCTTCGAATTATAGTTATAAAGATAATTCAGTCCAAAGAGGCTAGGTTGTGTTACTTAACAAAAACCCTAATATCTCAGTGGCTTACACCTACAAAGACTTACTTCTCTCTCACACTACGTGTCTACAACAAGACCACTACAGCTCTGTTCCATGTCATCTGCATCCCAAGCTCCAAGGTGACAGACGCTGCCTCTTTCTGCACCACTGTGAGTCTCAGAGCAGAGGGAAAAGGGAAAGAACTGCAAGCTAGATTGTAACGCTTCTGCTTGGAAGGAACACACATCACTTCTGTTCACAATCTATTGGCCAGAAAAAGACACGTGGTCAAGCCTGACAGGAACAAGAAAGTGTGATCCCTCCCTTCAGAATTGACAGGGGATATTTTTAAACTATAAGGGAATCTACCCCAGGGTGACAATAGAATTAGAATGTACAATCGCAACCCTCGGTTTATATGTTTAAAGGTATAAACGCTAACATTCTCAGTTAGTATAAGAAGAATCAGTGACCATTTTGTAATCATGTCTGAATCTCGGGCTTTCCTTTTTCTATATCCTCAACAGCTGCTACCACTGGGCTGCAACATTATTAATGTTCCCAGTGATGGATATGGGATTATTCCAGACTCCCTCAGAGAAGTCCTTTCCAGATGGAAACCAGAAGATTCAAAAGACCCCCAGAAGAACACCCCCAAACTTCTTTATACTGTCCCAAATGGCAACAACCCTACCGGAAACTCATTAACAAGTAGCCGCAAAAAGGAAATCTATGAGGTATTTTAAAAGAATGTGTTATGTGGCTATGTTCTTGATTCTTTTTAATTTTTTAGAAGCGTACTGTGCAAGTTTCCTTTCTTGGTAGTCTCTTACTTTCAAGGAAACTGGTTTTTAATCAAAGGAAGTCATCTATGCCAAAGGTTCTAATAAATTTAAATGCAAGAAATTACTATATCCTTTGTTAACTTACGAGTTTTTTCTTTCCCCTTAATTGATATTTTCATAAAAAGAAACAGCATTCTTGGACTCATTAAGTTTTATGAGGTATTGAATATTTGACTCCAAGTTTGACTTTCATTACTTTATGTTTGTATTTTCAACTTGTGCTTTCTTACTCTTTGTAATTTCAGGTTAAAAGGAAATCCTTTGAAAATAAAAGGCATGTTCCTTTTGTAAAGTCTCTTTTAGGTACCTGACTATGGTGCCTAAGTTTTCCACCATAAGCATTTTTTTTAAATGTTAAACAAATATAGAGTTATACAAAAATCTTTGAAAAATAAGAGAAATGCGACTTTTTATAAAGTCTCGTTTATGTACCTGACTGCTCCATAGTCTTACACGACAAATAGCTTTTCAAACTAACTACCAAACCCATGTTAGAATATATAGAATTTATCATGTGCAGGAAAATCATAAAAAAGATTTCAAACAGTAACTTTTACTCTTTTTTTATATTTGTAGATATATTATATATGTATATGTGAATATATATATATATATATATATATATGTATAGTAATTCCTCACTTAACGTCAATAGATTCTGCAACTTTAAGCAAAGTAACTTGCAAGAAAACCAATTGTACCATAGTCTAATGGATATAAACAAGAATTAAGTTCATAGGGCATCTCATCAATGTTATAACAAAACAACATTATTCAAGGACCTGCTGTGTATGTGTGTGTGTGTGTGTGTGTGTGTGTGTGTGTGTGTGTATAAATATACACACACACATACACACGTATATAGTCATGTATCATTTAATGAGGGAGATACTTTCTGAGAAATGTGTTATTAGGAAATTTCATAGTCATGCAAACATTACAGTGTATTTGCACAAACCTACATGGTATAAGCTATGTGGCATAGCCTGTTGCTCCTAGGCTACAAGCATGTTCAGATGTTAAAGTATAAAACAACATGAAATTAAATCAAGCACGAGAGAAAATGATTCGATCAAAAGACAAGGTAAACACGAGATGTGTGAGGCTGGG